AACCTCCTCCGGATCATTGGCATCACACATACACTCCTCCCTATAGATTCGGCTTTTTGTTAAGATTTTTACTACCATTATATAGTTGAAAATCGACTCCGATACCATATTTGTTACGACCTAAGCACGTGACACCGTGCTAAGAAGCCACAAGGAGACATGCAAACCTATTTAAGAGTGTGGTCCATTGTTATTTAGTGTTTCTTTCTTTTTTATCCAGAAACATTTAGGCTACCTTTGTGCCACGAAACACCATAATAAGATGCCACAATATTCGTGGTCGAAACTAAGGAAGAAACAAAAATTGGATAAACCTTAGCATGTTAATAATAGGATTATTAATGATACCACATGGGATGTAATTAAACTTAAACACATTTGATTGTACGAGAGTACTCAAAATTCACCTACTTTTACCTCCTTGTCCTTTGGAGATGGTGCCCATTTTGTTTATGTAACTATCTACAAATCTCTTCTTGGTAAATGATGGTCAATCTTTTTCATATATAAATTGCCAAATAAATTTTCTAACGCTAGAGCCTGATGCACTAAGCTTTTGCTACGCACATAGTTCAGAAAAGGACCAAATTATTATGTATGCAGTCTTACCATGTATTTCTACACTAATTGTTTTTGCACGGCTCGAACCTATCAACTGCTGGCCACACAACAGCAACATTTACTGTTGTCCCAAGGCTCCCCTTCGAATTTTCTAAAGAAGCATTTTGATTTAAAATTCAACTAACCTACCATTTAATACATAATTATACATTAAAATTGATTAACTTTTTTTATAGCTAGTTATTAGACTTAACCATCACCAATTGTGTTGTATGATAAGACTCGATCGAATTTATTTCACATCTTCCTTCAACTAAATAATGTACTCTCTTAAAGACATAATTATAGTCTATGTGAGTACTATAGTCGATATAATAAATTAATATAGTGCCATAAGTCTTAAAATCTTGATAAATCATTGTCAATTCTTATGGTTCCTAGGCAAGAAGATTATCGTGGGTTGTTGTACCATTTTTAACCTTTTTATTAACTAGTTCAAATTATATTCCTATGTACTTTTTTCTCTGAATCAATCAATTTTTGTGTACTTTTTCTTCTACCGACTAAAAGTGTAAGCTTACAGCAATATGTCATACTCTTTCTGTTTTATTTTATGTTATACTCTTTTCTTTTCAATCGGTTTTAAAAAGAATGAGATCATTCTATATTTAAAAATAAATAAATTTAACATTCTCATTTTACCCTTCGGAAGAAGGTGGGTATGGCCTCCATGGATGACAAACTGTGGGAAGCAAGGCTCAGATAATTCATGCACGTTCAGAGGAGAAACTCAGATGCACCGGTAAGGAGGTGAGAGCAGCTGGCTTTGGTGGGTACGAGGAGAGGTAGAGGGAGGCCTAAGAAGTATTGGGGAGAGGTGATCAGGCAGGACATGGCGTGGCTCATATTACCGAGGACATGGGCCTAGACAGAAAGTTGTGGAGGTCGAGCATTAAGGTTGTAGATTAGGAGGTAGTTGTTCATATTTCTACGGCGTGCTAGAGTGAGGCTAGTCTGTTAGGGCTTAGTCTTAGACCGTTAGTGATTTATGTTGAGCTCACACTACTCTTTCGTTCCTCTTAGTGCCGGGCCTTATCTACTGGTTATTGTTTTGTTCTTCATCTATTTTCTGATTCTGGTAATGCTGTTATTTTTTTTCTATGGTTTCTATTGATGGTAATGATATATTGTCTTTTTTTGTCTTATTGAGCCGAGAGTCTTTCGGTAACAGCCTCTCTACCCCCTCAGGGTAGGGGTAAGGTCTATACACAGTACTCTCCCCAGACCCCACTAATGGAATTTCACTGGGTCGTTGTTGTTGTTATTGTTATTGTTGTTATTGTATTTTACCCCTAATGACATAATTTTATAACCACATAAATCTCATAATAAATTTAAAATCACAAACATTTCAAACAAGTTGAAATAAATTGAGACTGCATGAGTAACTAAAAACATAAACCACTAATTAATTTTCTTCCTCTCACTTCTTTAGCCACTTCAGCATCTGTCATCTTCGGGAAAGTTTGCTTCATAACAAAGCATTTAGCAATATCAGCAGTCTGGTGAGGGCTGGTTGTCTAAGGACAAGTACTTGAGGCAGGGCCTAGAGGTACCCCTTAGTACTGGATTTCAAAGGATTAGTGCACCCTTTAAAACAATATAACAACATTCCTTTGGAAACAAAAAAAAATATTATATTCGAGGGGGAGATGAGAATTATTTTGTTCCACCACAGAAAATAATTTAATTCTTGTCTTTTAAATTTTATTCACGATATACCTAAACAATCAAATGGTCATCTTACTAGAAGTATTTAAATATTTCTTTCCTCGAGGTAGGTAATTAAAGTACTCGCTCAATTTTACTTACCAGTTTGTATACGGTCAAGATCGGGCTTGCTCTTTTTGTATGATTAATTAAGATCAGGGCATGACAGGCCAAGGTTCGACCCCATGTCACACCGGACCGTGACACAAAGTTAGATTGCCAAGCTCGTGACTCAGTGGCAGATCGAGATCGAGATCAGCCAAGATTGAGACCGAGCGGTATAGAGATCGAACAAGATCGAGGGAAGCCTGCAGAGCCAAATAACGGAAAGCCAAGATATCCGCGATCGGGCGAGGATCACGGCGGAAATCTCCGCACGTATCAAGAAGAAGCCGATTAATCAGCTAATCATGGGATTTCTTACTGTATTTAATTAGGATTGTATTAAGGGTAGGACTCCCCTACTATATAAAGGGGGTCAGATCATTTGTAAAGCACATCATATTCACGCTACTTAAAGCAATATACTATCTTTCTCTTAAGTTCTCAATACTTTGTCACTCTGTTCTTATTTACCAGTGGATTATTCGTTTGATTCGAAGGCGACCTAGCTCGATGATCAATATTTGCAGTTAATTCCAATGTCAATATTGCGTTCTTTCTCAGTTTGTGCCAAGCAAAATCACGTATCCTTAAAACCATAATATAAATTCAATTGTTATCCACTTTTAGGGTAAACAGAGTTATCTGTCGCTTGCCTTTTCTTCCATTACTTTAAAGTTTAATCAAAACCTAGAAGAAAAACTATTACCTACCAATTCAATAAGTAAATAGAGTAGAAGAGAAGGCCGCAAAAAACAAAGTTGTTGACTGAGACTGCCAACTGCAAGAGAAGAGAGAGCAGAAGTTACGATGTCAAAGCCTACGAATTAGAGGGGTATATTATAATTAGAAGAGGATCTAAAGAATGACATTTTAATTATTATTTATAAAATTTACTTTAATTGATGGATCGTTCTTAGCATTTATTTATTCTTGTCACAAAGTTTTCGAATTGAACTGTATTTGTACGTGCATTACTAAAGAAGGAAAAGAGCAACTTACTTGTCCTTGGCTAAAAGTATGCAAGTAAAGCACTAGATATAGTTACAATAATATAGTATTTAATATGGTGAAAATCATTTAATATTTACTTGTCCATGGCTAAAAGTATGCAAGTAGAGCACTAGATAGATTTTGAATAAATGATTATTATCATGTTAGGATCGAAAAAGTTAGGTGTCATGCATAAGCTAGTAAAGCAAACCTTGAATGACGATAAATCATATAACAAAGAAAAATATACCAAAAGAGACACAAATATTTAACGTGGTTCGGTCAACTGACCTACGTCCACGGCGGATATGAGCAATCCACTATATAAAAAGAGAGTACAAAATATCGAGAGAACAACCTCACGAAGAGGCAAACACAAGTGACACACTAACACTTTTCCCATAAAGTTCTCCCCCTAAACACGACTCTCAAACCTCATATGGCTACATTGTGGATGCTACTGAATGAGAAGGACGGATCTTCAATTTATAGAACTCCAAACCTTTTCCTACAAGAAAAGGGACTAGCCAAATATGGAAGAATTATATTTTTCTTCTAGGAAAAGAAAAATTCAATTATGGTAAATATGTTGTCCTTTCCTTCATGAGATAGGAAAACCAATTATGGCAAGAAAATCTGGACAAACACCTAACATATCTAACTCAAAAAGAGTTTGTGACGAAATTCGCAAAATGACTTTATTATTAAGACCAAAATAAATATTTTCATGAAAACAGTCTTTCAACACTTCCAAAGAAAGTATTGAGGCGGTAAAAACAGTCGGACACATGGATACGCGGGTAAAAATAGACAAAATAATTACTCTATCTTTTTTACGAAAACAGCCCTTCGATACTTCAAAAAAGATTTCAAGGTTGTCTCAGTTCGGAAATAGGGGCAACACGGCACAAAGCGGACAAAAATAAAAGAAAAGACTATTTTTACAAAAATAACCCTTCGACACCTCTGAGTAAAGTTTTAAGACTATCTCGACAAAAATGACCGAACAAAACATAAAAAGTAGACAAAAATATAAATAAAGTAGTTATTTTTAACGAAAATAGCCTTCGGCGCTTCCAGGTCGCTCATAAGTGAGGGAAGACATCTTCACCATTTGAAGAAACCGCTAGAAAATGACTTTTTCGATAATAATTTTTTGAAAAATAATTTATATCATACCAAACCAGCTGGAGTCGACATATATATAGAACACTAGATAATAATTCTGTTACCAATAATAGTTGTGATGGGGTAATAAGTATTTCTTCTATTCTTAACCTGAGGTCTCGAGTTCGAAGACTGAGTATGAAATCGTCTTTGTTATGGAGTATTTTACCCCCAATCTGAAATTTTTTTGACCTAAATTTAAATTTAATTAGATCCCAATATGAATACCGAACACCGAAGAACACCGATAGAAAACCAAAAAACTATGTCCAAAGCTTATATAGTATATATATGACAAGAGGTTAGGTGATTTTATTAATTGCTCTAGCACAAAATTAGTTTACCGACACTGTACTTATACGTGTATGTTTTAAATCAGTTGGCTATATATTTATTTGCAACAAACTCATCATATTCATTACTAACTTTCTCTTGATTTTACATCTTTCTTCTTCACTTCTCTGAACACTTATCAGCAAAATTCTTCAGATCAATAAATAAGAACAAAAAATGGTACACTCAAAGAAGTTCAGAGGTGTCAGGCAACGCCATTGGGGTTCTTGGGTTTCTGAAATTCGTCACCCCTTGTTGTACACTCTTCCTCTCTCTCTATATATATATATATATCAATGGGATGGGAGATTACTCATTCATGTTAAAAAAGAAAAGGTCTGGAGAAGGGCAGCACGCTAAGAGGTGTAATGTAGGCAGTCTGCCCTGCACAAGCATTAGTGGCTAAATTTACAGCTCAAATACGTGACCTACAGGTCATACGTACAGAGACAACTTTATCGTTGCTTTAAGGCTCCCTTCAGAATAGTTATTCATGTATCGACTAAAAAAAGTAGCTACAGTATAATAGAAAACTATGTTATCACTTTAAAGAAGTGATACCGTCAATCCGACCCTCGAGCTATCCATTCTAACTTGCCTTTATCTAGCAAGATACGTATAGTTCTTCATTCCCTTGTCTATCGCAATAGGATTGGAGTAGTCTCCGATTTCAAAGAAAAAGCTACGGGACGGAACTACCATTTTCGGCTTATACCATATATTGTGGATAGAACACCCTGAAATGTATATAAATATGAACTTGAGTTATATACATCACCTTTGAAATTTCTTTTACACTATCAGTGCAATTTAGTTATAGCAGCCAGTTATTACTCTATTTTTCATGTTACCGCTTATTAGACATTTTATGAAATGTTACTTGTTATTGTAGCTCAACGCAATTTGATAGTGTAAATATTTTGTATACTATCAGGGTATAAACTTAAACTCTTTAAATATTAAGTATTGAATCCATATTTCAAATTCAAAGAATTCAGAACGTGAATCCATGAAATTTAAATCCTGAATTTGTGTCACAGGAAAAGAAGGGTATGGCTTGGCACATTTGATACAGCAGAAGAAGCAGCAAGAGTATATGATCAAGCAGCAATATTAATGAGTGGCCGCAATGCAAAAACCAACTTCCCAATTACACAAGATTCAGATAATAAAGAATTAAAGGCTAAAGATCAAGAATTTTCATCAATTCCCTCTCCAAAAGCCTTATCTGAAATACTCCATGCCAAGCTTCGCAAATGTACCAAGGTGCCATTCTTCATCCCTTTTTTTTCATACGAAATACTTAAAAAAGAAAAAAAGAAAAAAAAAGTAATAATAATAGAATTAGGTACGAACTTCATCGCTAACGTCTCACTAAATCATTCGTAGTTAACAAAGTTTTGTGATAATCTGTCACTAATCCGCCGTTAAATAGGATTAGCAACGAATTTTTCTGTTTAGGTATAGAATTTGTCTGTCGCTAATTCTTATTTTTACTGGTAGTTACGGTATATATTATACTTCCTCAGATTAATTTTATGTGACACTACTAAACACAAACGAATTTTAAGTGAAATTCTTTTAGGAGGTCTCTTAGAAATATGGGATTCCGACGAAATGTCCGTCGGAAAAGCTTCTGACGAACTATTGAAGCTTTTTTGACGAATCTCCCTCGAAAATTTCTGTCGGAATTCGCTTGTTTGTAGTAGTGTGACGACATTGATTGTTTCAGTTTATTCCAAAAAGAATGACATGTTTCTATATTTAGAAGAAATTTAATTTTAAACTTTCAATTTTATTCTAAATACCATGATTTTATAACCATAGAAATGTCATAACACGTTTAAGACCACATATTTCAATAATTTATTTTTTCCTTAAATTTCGTGTCTCGTCTCTATATATATATATATATATATATATATATATTAAAGGAATAAAGTTAACATATATAATTGGCATTGTGGTTAAGCCAAGTGGTAAGCTAATAAATGCCAATAGTATATGGTAATTTTATTCTATATTTTACTATGTTAGTCAAATAGAAATATATATATATATATATATATGTTGGAAAAAAATATTGGTGATTATGGAGAATAAAAGAATTAGCTTGAGGCGTGTCAAAGACACCGTCCTTAAGGATATTTCGCCCACACCGTGGTAAATAAAATTAGGCGTATCCCCCAGGATTCAACAAGCTCTTCTAGTATAACTAGGAGCAGAAACAACAAAGATTCTATAAAAGAAAACCCAGCACAAAAGAAAAGGAGAAGTTTTCCACACACATTCTCAAATGAACACAAGAAGATATATTTATATATATTCCAAAAGTAATATGGATCTGATGAAAGTTAAAGCCATTAAGGCTTAAGGCCAAAACGTTAANAATTTATTTTTTCCTTAAATTTCGTGTCTCGTCTCTATATATATATATATATATATATATATATATTAAAGGAATAAAGTTACCATATATAATTTACATTGTGGTTAAGCCAAGTGGCAAACTAATAAATGCAAATAGTATATGGTAACTTTATTCTATATTTGACTATGTTTTATATAAATATATATATTAAAGAATAATTTTGAATTTATAGATAAAGTTTTTGAAATTGAATTAAAATAAAAAAAGAAATTTATCTTCTTCTTTTTTTGTCAAGTTGTCATACTTAATTTGGTTTTTATGATCATATGGAATCATGCTTGGAATTTTTGTTATCTTTTCTGATTATTTAAATACTACTGCGCCTGTGGCAAGGTGAGCACTTATTTAGGTTGAATAGATAAAGCCAAAAAAAAATGGAAGAAGTTCAACTAAAGACTAAAAATATAAATAAAACTCATCCTTTTATAGCGAAATAAATTAATTTGTTGTAAAAAAAAAGACATAAAAATAAGATAAAAGAAAATAATTATAGAAAAAAATGTATGAAAAATCTAAAAACCAAAAATAAGAGATGACAACGAATTTCTTCTTCTGTTTCATCTATGTTAAGTATAAGCAATTTGGAAGTAGATATCATTTAAATTTTTTTTTCAACTCAAATACATAGATTATAAGATAATTGATATCTTAGATTTTTTTTTAATTTACATTGTGTGTCGTTTTTAAAAAATTATTACTAACAAACTGACATGATATNTATATATATATATATATATATAATTTTAGATTTTGGAATGTCAAAATAGAAATATTTTTTGAAAGATAAAACATACCAAATAAGAGTTCAAGTCGTAGTAAAAGAGTCACGTCGTAACCAAAGAATCATTCATATTGTGTCAGCCTTTGTGCTTTGACATAAATACGAGTTATTATTTCACTTTTTGGCTATTTTTAGGTTCCAATGACACCAATGAGAATGGTGCAAAAATAAAATTATCACTACGAGATTTGAGAAAAAGTTAGTCTTTTTTCATGTACTGTTTCTTAATTGATATCTAAATATTATCTAGAAGGTTTAAATTTTAAGGTTATTCAAATATCATTCAAATAACTCGGATATTTAACATGGTTAATGTCAAATATCAAAATGGAGTCATACTGAGGAAAAAATTACTGGCTAAAGAATTTTTTAGATTTTTAGATAGCCGACTAAAATGAGTTTTGAATTAAGGATAATATTTTCACTTATGTTATTATAAAAATAATTATTATTGAAAAATAAAGTCTTAGAAACTGAAATTTTAAAATAGAAATATTTTTTGAAAGATATCAACACACAAAATAAGAGTTCAAGTAGAAGTAAAAGAGACAAGTCGTATCCAAAAAGTCCTTCATTGTCTCAACCTTTGATTGCTTTGAGTCATAATGAGTTATTATTTTGCTTTCCGACTAATTTTAGGATCCAATGACACCGGCGAGAATGATATAAAAAAAAATAGTATTAAAAACTTAAGAAATGGTTAATCTTTTTCCTGTAGTGTTTCTTAATTAATATCCAATGATTACCTATATTTAATAGAGGAAGTCTAAGTTTAAGATTATTTACATATAATCTAAATAACTCAAATATATTACATGGTTAGTGTCCGCGCATTCGCGCGGGTGATATTACTAGTATATTAAACACCAACACTAAAAAAGAACCGGAAGAATCGTGTTATATGTATTACTGCAGTATTTTATATATTGGGATATTGGACAGAGTTTATCGAAAATACCCTTTCTTCCTGCACAATGTATGGATAAGGTTGCGTACGCACTATTCTCCCTAAACCCTACTCGTGGAATTATACGAAATATGTTATTTTTGTTGTTGTTGTTATTGTTGTTGTTTATATATCGGAATATTTCTAGTGAAATTAATACATTTCAAGTCTTGTTTTCATCATATAGGTGCCATCACCATCTCTCACTTGTTTGAGGTTGGATATTGAGAGTTCACACATAGGAGTGTGGCAAAAACGTGCTGGCCCTTCATCTGATTCGAAATGGGTAATGACAGTTGAACTTCAGAAAAAGAATAATGTCAATGCTACTATTGAAGGAGAATTAAATTCTTCTTCTACTTCTAGTTCCAAGAATTGTGGAGAAATAGTTGAAGGTATAAGTATTAGAAGTGAAATGGATGAAGAAGAAAGAGTTGCATTGCAAATGATAGAAGAATTGCTTCATATAAATAGTCCTTGCCCTACATTTGATATTTAAGAAGGGGAGAAAATGATAATTTTACATTAATTAAGGTTTATTTATCATGTCATACGTGAGGGGAGCTTGGAGAGCAGCACTGAAGTCGTCTCTGTGTGACCTATAGTTTACGAATTTGAACATTGAAATCAACCTGAATACGGGATATTTCATGCATCGGGTTTCTTTTTATGTGATGTTATATATATTATTAGTTTCTAAGGGTTTGGACAAGAAGTGCCCTACATTCGAAGTTGTCTCCATCTGACCTAGTTATGAACTCGATCGAACCCTGGAATCAGCCGTGAACATAGAATTTTTGTGCGTTGCGTTGTCTTTTATGTGATGTTATTATATTAGTTTCTAAGGGTTTGGGCAAGAAGTGCCCATGTAAGTAGTAATAATAAACGAAAAAGAAACAAGTGAAGAAAGTTGTATCTCCTTGTGTACGTAGACTAATTAAATCAACATGGTTTTTCTGAAAGAAGAAGTTGATAAATAAAATTTACTGAATTGATTGTATTTTCTAAAGCAAATCCACCCTTTATTTGTATCCTCTTTTTACATTATCAAATTAAATTGACCTACAATAACATGCGATATATTATATAGTGACGAATTCAAAGAAGGTTCAGAATTTGAAGAAGTAAAATGTTTTGATGACCGGATGCACCAAACATTTTTCAACATACAAGACAGATCGATATGCCACCAATACATTCTACCTTTGAATTCTGGCTTTACCTGAGCTACTTCTCGATTGAGATCTCTTCGCTACCGCCTAAAATTATATGTCTAATGTTGTACATGATATTTCAACTTCCTTAATAAAAAGTGACTAGTACATTCGTAGGCAATGGTCCTGCGATGAGACATTATTAATATCATTGAAGTTATACACAATGATAGTATACAAAAAAAATTCACAATTTTTTGAATTTTATATGCTGCAGCGAGTTGTTACCTGCTTTAGTTTTTAAGATTACTAATCTCATGTATTATGAACAATTGTCTTTATGTAAATCTCTCTTAGATGAATTATTTGACGACCAACGTTTTGAACTAGCAAAAAAGAATGAAAAAAGGTGTTTAACTAGGGTATGTTTGGTACGAAGGAAAATATTTTCTTCAAAAATAAGTGATTTTAATTTCTTATTTATTTTTTGGTGTTTGGTTAGCTAGCAGAATATATTATTTTTGAAAAATATATAGTTTAGGCAAACTTTATGGGAGACAAAATGGGTAAGGACAAAGATGGTGGTAAGTCAGGGTTTAAGGGCCGGAATGGCGATGACGAGGTTAGTGCTGGGGATAGGGAGGTGATTGGGTGGGGGGTGGCGGGGTAGGGGTGACAGTGAGGAAGGGGGTAGTGGGATGTCGGGTAAGGGGTGGAGAGTGGGTAGGCGGTTAGCGGTGGGAGTTGGGTTAGGGATGGGGAATAAGATGGGGAAGGTTAAAAAAGTGTTTTAAAAAATATTTTTCCTTCAATCGGAGAAAAATAAGTTTATGAGGAAAATATTTTCCAAAATATTAAGCCAAGGAAACATGAAAAAATTAAAAAGTGTTTCTCAAAAAATACTTTTCGTCATACCAAACATAGCCATAACGTTCTTTCTAGTATGCCTATGAGGAGCAAGCTTTTGCAGTAATATTCATGGAACTTCGATAACTACACAAATAATTTGCCAGATCTACTATTGATTTTTCCTAGCCCATATATATAGATTATATATTAGCTTTGCACATTTATACATATATTATACATATATAAATTATAAATATATTATACATTCACTGATCATTTTTAATTTAAACGGTTGGTGGATAAAAATATTTAGGTTAATATGGGTCTTGGCTTATATGTTATCTCTAGTAAGACTACATCACTGGAAAGATGGCCATAATAAAAGCAAACCTAACTGGTTTGGTTAATCTCATTAATATATTTAATAAATATGTATGCGACATTTTTATCATTAGTTATTGATTGTACCTTTTTTGAGTTGTCAAAATCTGTCTAAAAATTTCTTGTAATGAATTAATGGTCATCTTATCGTGTCCCACGAATTTTATGTTTAAGAATTAATATACTGTTTTTTTTTTACGACTATTGAATTAATTAATGCCTTTTAATAAAGAAAAGGTAACGAACCGACCGGTCGTTTTGAGCTCTAGCATATCGTTCGGCATTTTGAAGCCATGAGCAGCTCCACATCAGGTATTATGACTTGTACGCATGGTCGGAATTGAATTCCGGGAAGTTCGGGGTTGATTTGGAAAGTAATTCTCATTTTGAAAGCTTTAAGTTGGCAGAATTGACTACGATTGAATTTTTGAGTAAACGAACTCGGAATCAGGATTTGAAGGTTCCAGCAGGTTCGTACGATGATTTTGGACTTGGGCGTATGTCCGGATCGGGTTTAGGATGACCAGGGAACGTTTCGGCGCCTATTGTGTAAGTTAGCATTTTGGAAGAATTTCATAAATTTGGGTTGAAGTGCATTTCAGTGTTATCGATGTCCGTTTGGGATTCAGAGACTGGGAATAGCTCCGTATGGTGATTCTAGTATTGGGAGCAAGATCGGAAGTGGATTTGGAGGTCCATAGGTCATTTTGGAGTCATTTGGCGAAAGTTAGAAATTTGAAGGTTTTTGAGAAGTTTGACCGGAAGTGGACTTTTTGATATCGAGGTTGGATTCCGATTCCGGAAGCTGGAGTAGGTCCGTAATGTCGAATATGATTTGTGTGCAAAATTTGAGGTCAATCGGACATGATTTGATAGGTTTCAGCATCGAATGTTGAAGTTTGAAGTTCTAAAGTTCATTAAGCTTGGATTGGAGGGCGATTCATGGTTTAAGCGTTGTTTGATGTGGTTTGAGGTCTCGAGCAGGTCCGCATTATGTTTTTGGGATTGGTTGGTACGATTGGACGGGATCTCAGGGGCCTCGGGTGGATTCTGGGTGGTTAACTGATCAAGGTTTGGAGTTGAGGAGCTGCTAAAGTTGGAGGGATGCAGGTGTAATCGCACCTACGGAGTGGGCACCGCAGGTGCGAGCCCGCAGAAGCGGGAAGGAAGCCGCAGAAGTGGAAAAAGGACTGGAGCAGGGGAGTCGCAGGAGCGGTCATTTGGGCGCACCTGCGGGAGTGCAAGTGCGAAGGTGAAGGGCGCAAAAGCGGAGAATGGCGCAGGTGCGAAGAAGACGCCGCAGAAGCGGAGCCGCAGAAGCAGCTAAAGGACCGCAAATGGAAAGTCGTCTGGGCAGAAGGGTACTTTTAAAATCGGGAATTGGCCATTTTTCTCCCATTTTTCAATTGGTGTGGGCGATTTTGGAGGGCTTCAAGGGGAGAAATTCTTCAAGTATCACAAGGTAAGTTGTCCCCACTCATTACAAGTCAAATACATAATTTAGATACGGATTAAAGTATGAAAATTTGTATAAATTTGGGGTTTGAGGAAAAACCTATAAAATTGGTATTTTTGGATTTTGACCACGATTTTGGTCATGAAATTGAGAGTAAATTATATATTTGAGTTCGTAGGCTATGGCTAAACTTTATCTTTGAAAAATTTCGGAATCCGGGCACGTGGGCCCGAAGGTGATTTTGTCAACTTTTCGATCGGGGTTAGAAATTATCATCAATTGGATTATTATGAGTAATTGAGCATAAATTAATGGATTTACATAATTATTGGCTAGTTTTGGTGCGTTGTGCATCGATTTGAGACTTCGGAAGGACGTGGAATGCCGCTTATGGAACTTCGAAGCGAGGTGAGTCTCCTTTCTAACCTTGTAAGAGGGAATTATCCCCATGGGTGAATTAATTGGATATGTGCTTCTATTTGTGGGGGCTACGTACGCACGAGGTGATGAGAGTCCGTGCGTAGCTACTATTATGCTTATGTGCGGGTAGTCTAGGACCCAAAAGCATGCTTTACTTGAAATAATTGTAACCTTATTGATAGTTTAAATTGCTTTAATCGTATTGAAGTGGTAAATAATTTTCTAAAAAAGTTAAACTTCGTTTTCTCGACTTGTAAAAGAGAAATTTACACCTCCTTGAATAACTGTTTCCCTGACAAAGTTTTGATTGACTGTTTGAATGTGTGTTTCTATGTTGAATGTGTGTTTCTATGTGTACCTGCGTCGCATGTATGATTCGCGAGCGGGGTGATTATTTATTTATATTTGACCGCGTCACATGTATGATTCACGAGCGGGGTAATAGATGCATCTATGGTTCGCGCCATTCGATCCTCTGGCAGTGCACAATTTAAATATTGTTGGATCGGGTCGTACGACCTCGGCATGATTTGCGCATGCTTGTATTGCTTGCCTTGAAATTTATAGATGTTGGTGTTTGTTCTCCTGGCTTGAGATAAATGTATAAATGATGAAAAGGAATTTGGGAATTTCCTATAAATGAAAGAATTGTTACTTGCCTCTTACTATTGAGTTACACCCCTTTTTATAAAAATCCTCGCTTTACTATATTGTTGGTATATTATTATTGGACCACTAGTAAGTGTCGAAGTCGACCTCTCGTTTCTACTTCTTCGAGATTAGACGGGATACTTACTGAGTACACGTTGTTTTTGTACTCATGCTACACTTGCTGTGCATTTTTGTTGCACAGGCACATGTACCTCTAGTGGCCTAATAGGCGTAGCAGCACGGATGATACGGAGACTTAGGTGAGCTGCATTCTTCGAGGCGACTCGTTGCCAGCATAGTCTCTTTCAGTGTATTACATTTACTTTATGTCCAAATTTATTCCCGACAGTTATTGTACTTTATTTGATTTCCTAGTGATTGCTCATGCACTTGTGACACCGGGTTCTGGATGATTATGGGATTATTAATATTAAGTTTGTTAAAGACATCAATATTTATTCAGTGAAATTCATTACTTATTGTTTAATGTATAAAGGAAACGATTTCAAAAATATTAAAACAAGAAATTGCTAGTTAATTTGTGTTGGCTTGCTTGACAATGGTGTCCGGCGCCATCACCACCTTTAATGAATTTTGGGTCGTGACAACATGGTATCAGAGCACTAGGTTCCCTTAGGTCTTACGAGTCATGAGCAAGTCTAATAGAGTCTCGCGGATCGATACGAAGACGTCTGAACTTATCTTCGAGAGGCTACAGGGCTGTTAGGAGCACTTCCCTTCTTGATTCCTCATCGTGCGATTTGATTCCCTTTGAGGCTTATGCCTTCATTTCCTTTCCATTCAATCTTATGCGACGCGAAGCGCTGGTCATGAATCGGCGAGTGAGTAATTGTAATGGTACTGCAAATGTGGTGCGGGATGTTTCTTCCTGCGTGGTTGTTTGAGCTATTGTCGTCGCCTTGCGGAAGGATATTCTGTCGTTTCAGCTCAGTAGTTGTACTTCTGAGAGCTTTGAGGTTATGCATAGGTTGCTATGATGCTTATGAACGGTTATCGTGCAATATTGATGAGAGGGTGGAATGCTTGCCTATGTGTCGGGGCAGTAAATGACTGGAGAGGAGGTTTACT